GTGTGTGTGTGTGTGTGTGTGCGTAGGTGGGGTACAAATGTAGCCTGTTTGTGCATGTGTCTGTGTATATATATATATAAATATATATATATATATCTGTTTTGCCCTCGACAATGAAGAATTTCACCTCCTACAGACCATAAAAGCAGCTGTAGTGTGAATAGGTTACAAAAAGCAATGCAAATGGGTCAGGGTAGATCCGAGTGTGATCGAAAGTATTCTCTTGCTGAACAATATTTCTCAAAGACACAAAGACCAAAGAAATATTATGATTTGTCATCACACTGGCAAACAGTATTGTCTGCAATTTTTCATTCTAAATATTTAAAAAATGACATATACAGAATAAAATGCTGAGTTGACTCCTTTCATTTGTGCAAAAAAAAGAAAAATGATGTTCAGGTCATCGGGTAGTTTATGAAATAGGAAGGGGCCAAACTGTAATGGAAGAATATAAAAATACAAAATTTATGCATAATAAAGAAAGACAAGAACTTGGCAAGGGTTTTGTGACAATTGGAATTTGAAAAAAAAACCCCAATAAAACAAAACATGTCTCAACAGAAACTTTCTAATATCAAGTATCTTCCATCATAATATACAGAACCAATAAGCAATTCAGGCTACGTTTTGCATAACGAAAGCGGGAGGCAAGCTCGTTCAAAACAGGGATCTCAAACTCGCGGCCTGTAGACCAATCGAGGTTTGCAGGGCAAATTTTGGAGCCCTTACTGAACACAAAAGTTCAGACTGACCACCACTTTTTTTTTCACACACACTTTTTTGCTGAGGTGTTGCCCTGGATTTTTGTACTCTTTTATCACATGTGGACGACCAAATCTCAAGTACATCAACAGCTGCTTCTGGTGGCATTTGCTAAAAAGACACTTAGTTTTAAAAGTGATTTCAAAGTTTTACATTTTCTAAAAAATACTTGAAACCTTTTAAGTGTACAATTTGATGCTCTCAACGCTCCCCCAGACTCTACCTCTAGTAGCTTTCGGGTAAATTGAGTTTGAGACCCCTAGTCAAAAGGGAACAATTTGAAGTTTATTATATCAAAGACTCCGTGACAAAGCCTAGTGCTATGCACCATCTGCGAAAATAAAACAGAGGCCAGGGTTTTGCTTAGTTCACCCCGTGTCCATACATGGCTTACAATAAAACGTTATTTTGCATAGTCAGTATTTTACCTTACAGTGTGAGGGATGAAAATTGTGCTATAATGCAGGTTGTTTTTTTTTGGGGGGGGGGGGGGGATTGAACAAAAAACAGAGACCATAAAAAATAATATTTGAATAAGAAACAGAACAGATTTCATCATGGATCTCTTCTATACTAAGTAAACAGTCTAGTTCACACATAACCAAATCAGCAGGACATGGCCAATGTTTCATTATGTACAAATTTCACAATGCATAAATTTCAGGCTGTATAATAAGAATATATAAGAAAAAATTGAGAGCCTGTAAATCTGTTCACTTGGTGCATTTTTCACTATGTGTGCAATTTTGGATGTGTGCATGTTCACTATGTACATACCAGACTGTAATATCTATGAGCTGACAGTACTGACAAGTGAAGAATGAGAGACATACATTTTCAGAGAGAGAGAGTTCCTAGACAGTGAGTCACATTCACAGCTAACCACCATATCACTACGATAAACAGAAAAAAAAGTCGGCAATAATATCTGACTAGGGATTGAATGTTTTGAAATAAACAATATGAAACTGGTCTGAAATATCCTCCTTGTTATGCTCTTCATGTGTCTTATTATTCTAAATTTGACATGCACTTCTTGAAAAGAGAAGAAAAGTAAAATTTCAACTTAAAAAACAGTACTGCATGTTAACAGCTAGTCCCCTACCCCATTTAGATTCAAGGGAAAGTCCAAAACCATTGGCTTTTGTTTGAAGCTCTTTTGAAAGTTTTACGACAGACATTAATGTTCCTTAAAAAAACAAATGGTACTGGGCACTCTTTTATTTGTATTTTCCCTTAATAAGCTAAAAAAAACCAAACACCTTCTGACTGAATGTTAGAGTACTGACAAAAAAAACAACAACCCAGATTATCAAAGCACAATTATATTGTTATGAACATAAATCATTTTTGGAAAGGCAATATTTAGGAGTTTCAGCCACACAAGTAGCCTACAGAGTATATATAATATTTTTAAAATGTATATTTAGACTATATCATCCAGCACTCCTTACATGTGAAAATGACTGAAAACTAAAAGAAAAGGTAAAAATCATGTGACAAAAATGAAGTCCCGGAGACCTCACAACACTGGGGGAGACTACTACTATATTATTTTTTTCGTGAGAAATAAGAACGCCTAGTGGAAATTCTTTTGTCCAGGTCTGTCCCATCACATACCAGCTTAATGGACATTCCAGATATGTCCCATCACATGCCACCAGTCACTGTGAATGTGGAAGATGTAACAGATGCAGACAAGAAGAAAACAGTAGTAGAAGAACAAAGGGACTGATTTTTGTAACCCATTTTTGAGTCCGGAAAGGGAAGATAAAAATTCCCTCCTCACATTTGTGAGAGATCGTGGTGAAATCAGGCACTCGTCAAAATACAGAAATCGGAGAAACAGGCATTTTTCTGCCAATTTTTTTTGTTTTGTTCAACCTCTTATATGTCTCTATATAAAAGAGCTTCATTGGAAACAAGGCAAAAAACTGAACTGCAATAATTCCACACGTCCAAAAATTGACGAGCGCCTGATTCCACAGCGTCGTGACACATTTGTGCAAGAAACCCAGGACCATGTGAATTTTGCTGAAAAACATTGATTAAAGGCACAAAATATGTCATTTTTTGTTTTCAAGGACTCCCTATAGCTATTGGAGCTACCTAACTGGCGGCCATTTTCTTGCTAATTTCATCACTGAAACAGGCGACCTCACTTTCTTCAGTCGCAAATATCTTGAGTTCTATTCAAGCTAGAAGAATATTTATTTCATTGGAAGCAAGGCAAAGAACTGAACTGCAATATATATAATTCCACATGCCCAAAAATTGACGAGCACCTGATTCCACCGCGTCGTGTCACATGTGCAAGAAATAAAGCTCTACAGGCAAAATTATGAAAAAACAATCAAAAACCACAATCTCAATAGCAACTATTGTTTTGCCAAGCCAAAACAGTTCACAGGAGGAATTAATATACAGTAGGCCACCAGCTTTACCAGCTGCCCACCATTAAAAACAAAAATGTCAAATTAAAAAAAAATCCTTTACAGAAAAAGGTAAAATGAAAAAAAAATTGAAACAAAATAAAAATAAAGGGATGTAATCGCAATAAAAACGTTTTCAGCTGAAGATATTTCAGTTGTCATTCTTCAGAACATAACACAAGGCCATTTGCTGAACAGCCACTAGAATTTAAAACTGAAAAAAACCCCAAACCCCTCACTCTTGAAACACAAATTACGTATACAAAAAAATACATTACGTATACAAAAAGTGTATAAAAACAAATCAGGACACTCTTTTTATACATTCCTTTCAAATAATATCTTTCCATACTTACATTTATGGGAGAATCAAATTTGGCCAGCTTTGGTTTCAGACCTCATAAACAATGTCAAGAATTTTCCAAAAATTAAAGATCTAAAGATATTGTTACCTGTAAACCTGTTATTGTGTTTGGCAAGATTTACATTGTTAAAACTATAATGCCATAAGTGGGCAGGAAATGAGATAAAATAAACAAACAGTTGGTGTTGCATGATATCAGGATCACTACAAAGTCAAATTTAATAATAAAAAGTTAAAGTGGATACTTGTACATTCACGATCTCTTCTCAGCAAAAAACTGAACTGCACACTACTTCTATTTCTCATACTAGGCCTCACCGGTGTCAGAGTCAATGTTCACTGCAGTTTTCATCAAAAGTCATCACAAATCAAAAAGCATTTAGAAAGAACTGATGATCAAAAGATCCAAAAAGATGTTTCACATTTATCACAGAAAAATATTTTTTTAATACTTGAGAAGTGTATGCCTATAATAATAGAGAAAGCTGAAAATTAGTAGAACTGTGACGTGACATGAATCATGTTGGAATACTTTTGACTGTTACAAGATATCATTTTTGAAATCTTATAACTTTTTAAATCAATCACCATTAAGTTCAAACCCTTTTGAAAATTTGGATAGTTAAAAATTTGTTCTGTGAATGAGAACGAAAATAATAAATGTGATGCAGCGTGATGGAATCAGGCGCTCGTCAATTCTTGGGCATGTGGAGTTATTGGTGTCATCTTAAAGCCTGTTCATTTGTCTATCTTTCGGTGAAAAATGTACCCATCTATCTTTAATAGAAGTCGAAATATTTGTGATTGAAGTAAGTAGGGTAACCTGATTTCAGAACAAAATTAAGGGTGAAAATGACTGCCAAAGCTTGGTATCTTTCAATGCGTGAGAGTCCTTGAAAACTGAAAATTTACATTTTTTGTACCTATAATCAACGTTTTTCTGGATATTCCACACAGAAATGTTTTTTTAAATGGACATAAAAGCTGTTGAGCTTAAAAACAAAAATTATATAAAAATTGCCAAACGGACAGAAAAATGCCAATATCTTTGATTTCATCATTTTGACGAGAGCCTGATTCCACCACGCTGTCTCACACATATATATATGTGTCACAACATGGTGGAATCAGGCGCTCGTCAAAATGCTGAAATAAAATATATTGGCATTTATCTGCCCGTTGGCAATTTTTGTCCATTAAAAACACATTTCTGCGTGGATTATCCCCAAAAACATTATTTAAAGGTACAAAAAATGTAAATTTTCAGTTTTCAAGGACTTTCATGCATTGAAAGATTCCAAGCTTTGGCGGTTATTTTCTCCCTTATTTATCCTCTGAAATCAGGTTACCCTACCAACTTCAATCACAAATATTTCGACTTCTATTAAAGATAGATGGGTACTTTTTTTCACCGAAAGATAGACAAATGAACAGGCTTTTAAATGACACCAATAACTCCACATGCCCAAAAATTGACGAGTGGCTGATTCCACCACGCTGCCTCAAATATAAAGTTTATTAGGAGTATTATAATCATATCTCTTGCAAATGTCACGAGTGATGTAACTGAGGCACCATACAATCCATAGAGCTACTTTCTCTAAACTTTGCTCACAGCTTTGATGTCATAATGTCAAATCACAGAACATCATCAGGTGCTGAAAGAAATATGGTTTGATGAAAAGGAAAAAAAACCCCCCTCCTAAACAGTCAATTTATCCTGACAGCACTCAAAGACAGTCTCTGTGTTAATGCCTCACAACCGCTCGCAGCTTGAACCGTCGGGGATGTATCACCAAGCCCATTTCATAAGTCCGGGGATCCAGCGGAGGAAGTCCCCCGCCCACCATGTCCCCAGCACTGGGCACGAAGCGGAAGTGTTGTACTAAGGCAGCAGCAAAAAGGAACAGCCTGTTCTTTGCCAGAGCCTCTCCGAGACAAACCCGTCGCCCGGCACCAAACACCATGAGTCTGAGAAAATCAAAACCATATATAAAATAGTTAATACATGTAGTTCACAAAAAAAAAATTAAAAAATTAATAACCTATACGAATAGTACAGCCCTAAAAATAAAAATCTCTTCGTACAGCAAATAAAACCCTCTAATTTTATTGTTTGACGTTTTTGGGCCCTTAAGGTTTTGACGTCTTCATTTTTGAGTTCCCTAGCTACAGCTCAGTGGGTAACTGACTGTAAGATCTTCATCTCGCAATTTTAATATAACGTATGCGACTGTTTTATTTCCATAGAACGTAGAATGATTCCTTGCCTGACAGGCAGGGCAGAGACATGTAATTTTTTAAGGTATTCTTTATTATATTGACTAGAATGTCTTCAGATTTGGTGTGGATTTAATACTTTGATACATAGAACTTCTGCTGTCTTTTGTCTTTACCTTAAGATTAGGTGCTCGATCCTACTTACCCTAGGAGGCAAAGAAAACATGAGGGAAAAAAACAGAAATTGATGAGGATCAAATTCCAAACTTTGAGGTTGACTGGTGAAGACCACAAATCAGTTGAGCTACTTTTTTTCGTATTTATAAAGTTGTTAATCCATATTGGAGGGACTAATGTATTTGTCAAATCTGACATACGAAAGATAACATAGCACAACATGAGCCCAGTCTACACATTATATTTTGTCTTCATGCAGTCCTGCAGTTGGCAAATATAATTGCGCACTTTTGATCTGGGGTGAAACTGTAAGCTTTGGCTTTCCCTCCCCATACACTTGAATGTAAGCATGAAGTACATAAGCAAACCAGTGGTGAAGGGAATGGAAATATAATAATCTTCTGTGGAACTTTCAATTAGACAGAATTCAGTACAAATGCTAATGACACAAGAAACATCAACTTTACTTTTTTTTTTTCTTTTTTTTTTCTTTAAAAAAAAAAAAAAACACTTTTTTAAATCCCTTGCTCATTTTTACGAGATTTACGCCACCTGGTTAGTAGAAAAAAGTGCGAATGATAGTGTCCAATAGTGCATTGCGTGCATACTCAGTATAACAAGTAACTGTAATAGCAGATAGAGATTCCAGGATTATAGATGTAAGTCATTGATCTGAGAGCGGTGATGATTTTAGATGTAATGGTGGTGATAAGTGATGATGTGGGATTGTGTTTAAGTAATGTTAGGGTTAGTCCTATTTTTACTAACTTTCTCCGGGCGGGGTGACTTGGAGGGATCAACCGTTGCTTGGCATCGAGGAAACGTTCCGGCCTGAATTCCCAGGGGTCCGCCCACTCAGCTGGGTCATGGTGAAGTGCCCACAAGTTAATGTAAACCTGAACAAAAAGGTTCAGAAGAAAGGAGGTTAAAAGTCCACTTCATTCCTGCAAACTTTCGGAACCTTCGGTGACACGATAAAGACGACTCCACTAGGGAGTGGGACAGAGGGTGCCCACCTCGTGACTTGAAAGAGCTGAGGAATGTAGGACTAACATGATCTAAACAAACTACTACTAACCAGTTGTGGTAGCCGTCTCCGATTGGGGCTATGGCAACACTTAGATGAGTAACTTACTAAAAAAACGTAATAAGAGTGAAGAAACCTATTTTTTTTACTTATTCACTCATGTATTTATTTATATATAAAACATTCTCATGTGTTTTTACTCTAAGACCAACAGCTAATTTAAAAACCCCAAATGCTGCACAGTTGGTTGTTATTACTAAACACAAAAGTGTCAGATGATAGAATTGGGCAGGGTACCAACAAAAAAAAAGTCCACTTCATTTACCCACAGAGGGAGACTTGTTCCACAACGGCATACAAAGAGTAAGACAAGATGTCTTTTTACACAAAGAGTAGGACAAGATGTCTCTTTACACAAAGAGTAGGACAAGATGTCTCTTTACACAAAGAGTAGGACAAGATGTCTCTTTACACAAAGAGTAGGACAAGATGTCTCTTTACACAAAGAGTAGGACAAGATGTCTTTTTACACAAAGAGTAGGACAAGATGTCTCTTTACACAAAGAGTAGGACAAGATGTCTCTTTACACAAAGAGTAGGACAAGATGTCTCTTTACACAAAGAGTAGGACAAGATGTCTCTTTACACAAAGAGTAGGACAAGATGTCTTTTTACACAAAGAGTAGGACAAGATGTCTTTTTACACAAAGAGTAGGACAAGATGTCTTTTTACACAAAGAGTAGGACAAGATGTCTTTTTATACAAAGTGTAGGACAAGATGTCTTTTTACACAAAGAGTAGGACAAGATGTCTTTTTACACAAAGAGTAGGACAAGATGTCTTTTTACACAAAGAGTAGGACAAGATGTCTTTTTACACAAAGAGTAAGACAAGAAGTCTTTTTACACAAAGAGTAAGACAAGAAGTCTTTTTATACAAAGTGTATGACAAGATGTCTTTTTACATGCTATTAAACTTTCAACTTTTGGGAGAATTCTGAGAGTTTTAGTGGGTGGTTGGTGGCTGGTCTGGTAATGTTGACTTCTTTTTTCTTATCAAACATCTCTATCTCTCCTCATTCTCTTCTTTGTATCTTACTTTCTCGCAATACCTCTAATCTACAGCATGTAAGATATGACCTACTATAACTAAAATGATAATATCATTCTTGAAAAATAAGTATCCATTAACACAAAATTGATATTTTTTGGAAAAAGTCTTTCAGGATTTAAACAAATCAGATATGTACAATTTATTTTCTTTTTAAATCCATATGTCTAACAGCGTACTTATAATTACTTATTCACAATACCACAATTTTTTAAACAAACATTTTAAAAGCACCTCTGCTGGTCAAAGCAGTTTTAAATGGAGACTGAATAAAGAAAAGAGGAATCTGCATCAGCCTCCTAAATGTCTTCAATGTACAACACCTAAGTACACTAAAAAATGGTTCACTCATTGAAAAAGCATACTCGATAACCCAGGTAGGCTATGAGTTTATACACCTTTGTCCTTATCAGGGCTGATAAAAACAATGAGTTTTGTTTTTTTAATAAAAGTTTTCTTGAGAACAATCAGTGTTCTTATTCTTTTTATTATACACTCCCTGAAATACATAAAAATCTAGCATGCACATAACTAAAGAAAATAATATGTGAGGCAGCGTGGTGGAATCAGGCTCTCGTCAATTTTTGGGCATGTAGAGTTATTGGTATCATCTCAAAGCTTGTTCACTTGTCTTTATTTGGATGAAAAAAGTATTCTTTTATCTTGAATACAAGTCGAGATATTTGTGAATGAAGGAGGTGGGGGTCACCCGTTTTCAGAGGTAAAATTAGTGAGAAAATGGCCGTCAAAGATTAGTTATTTCCTTAGCTTAAAAGTCCATGGCAACTGAAAATTTACATTTTTTGAACCTTTAATCTATGTTTTTATGAAAAATCCACACAAAAATGTGTTCTTTAATGGGCTTGAAAGGTGTTGAGTCAAAAAGCAAAAATTTGATAAAAATTCACAAGCATGCGGAAAAATGCAGGTTCTTTCTCTTTGATTATTTTGACGAGAGCCTGATTCCACTACGCTGCCTCACATATAGAGTTTAGATTTTCAGGTCCTGAAATTCTTAAAAATTTTTAATATATTCTTTGAATTTAAAACAAGTACAGAGTGGAATTCTCACATGAAAAGAAAAAGATTTCAGCTGCCCGTTAATTTTTCTATGAACATGCTTGACTGTAATATCAAACCTGCAATAACATAGATATCGCCATTGGGCATTGTGAAGATGCTATCATAGTACTTCATATATAGAAGAGAGAACCATCATACAAGGTAAAGCCTTTGACAACACCACACACTTGCGATATTAATGGTAACTAAAAGTCTTAACCCTACCATACGCCCTGGTGTCATTTTGTACCCCCGGGTAGTATTCTTCACATTTTAGAATATTTCTAGTACGAAGATCTCTTTGAAACTTTCAGTATTTCTCAAAAAATCATTTTGACAGACTGGTATGCAAAGCGTACAGACCGAACTAATAAGTAAATTTCCTCTTTGGAAAGTGGTGGCTCAGAGTTCCCCACCTCATATGGATATGATAGTAAAACACGACATATGGAGGGGGTTAAGGACAACGCCCAGCTCACCGTCATATTCTTAGGTATTGGAATGCCCAACACACTCGTGTCGCACATGGTATAATGCGGCACAGCCAGCGCTACGTGAGACGTGAAGCGTAGAAGTTCTAACAGCGCTGCCTGGAAGTACGGCATGTGTGAGCGGTCAGCCAGTTGTATGAGTCGGTCGCTCCCTATGTGGTCATTGAGTTCCTCCCACATGCGCTCCTGAACTTGAGGGTAGTGGAGGAAAACTAGCAGCAGGCAGGTCAGTGCTGTGGCTGTAGTGTCAGTCCCTGCAACATGAGGATTCCTGAGTTGGTAAAAGCATAGCTTACAACCCCGATCAACCCCCCCCCCCCCCCCCCTCATTTATATGTCACTAGCTGGGTAGGCCTACCCCGTTCGATGAACGGACTCAATCGTCAGGTTATTGCGGGTTCAATGCGCACTGCATGTGAACATAAGTCTCAATTTTTATATCATGGAAAACGAAATATGTCTTGAACACTGCATTGAAATGACGAACGGGAAAATCGTAAACGGCCGATAGTGTTTTCTATTTTTCTAAATTTTTAAAGCGAATGTAGGCACTAACTGAACTGATAGAAACTTAGCTTGGTCTTTGAACTACCTTCAGTAATTTTTTCATGATTCCACGTTCCGTAGTTTTTTCAGCTGTAGAAAACAACCATCTGCATGTACGCAATTATATAGATGAACGTCACAACAACCATATCCCACTGTTTCCTATTCTATTATAATAAGACACATCTGCAACCAAACCAGAACGTAGTTCAGTATGTCAAGCAATTCGAAACTGAGGGCTATACTTTACTTTTACCATTTCTCTTTCCCTCATGTTAAAGAGTAAGACTACTGGAGTGAGAATTAATTATGTGAAACTTAAAGGCAGATGCTTTACTAACATCATATTTACTAATAGCACAAGCGTAGACTAACAGAAGCGACTAAAACGGATTTAAGGGCAGCATTTGCCAGTAATCAAAATTTTGAGTAGGCCTATTTTAAAAACTGTTCACTATAGTATTTACTTCAAAGGAATATTGAATCAAAATCAAATTTGTAAACAGCTTGTTACAAAGTGCGAGCAGTCCTTTAGCTAATTCCACACCAACTATCTCTATCAATGATTTGCGTAACAGCCGCTGGGCCGATTATCTGTACTTTACTATAAACTATGTTGAAAATGAAATGGCCCATTTCTCATACAGTTTGAAAATAATATGTCTATTATTCATTATCTTAAATCTAATTTTGTTGGTCATCCTATTCTGATGAAATTGAAGTAGAATTCTAACCCAATTATGATAAAAGACACATTGTACAGACATATTTTCCCTCACCTACCAAAATATAATAAAAACAAATTTCAAAAGCTCATAACAAGACTGTGTAAACCACCCTGGCATGAAATGAGTTCATGTGCATGGCTTGACAGTACCTGCTAAGATGAGATTAGTGAAGACCTCTTTGGCTGTAGTCTCTGTAATGCCAAGCTCCTGACCACTTGGTGTAGAAGCCAAGGAAAGCAGTTGTTGAACAATGCAGTCTGTTTCTTCACGACCCTAAAAAGTTAAATGCAAGCACATTATTCAGAACAAAAGACTCAATGAACAATTCAGCACAATTAAGGGACAAACATAAAATATAAAAGAAACTGTGCTCTGTTCAGGAATTCAGGAGTGTCCAGTGGCTGACTGACAAGTAACCCCAGGTTCCCAAGTAATTCCAAGCAAGGTTGAAGATATTACAATTAGATGTTTGGTATTTATCAAATCTACAGGCCATTGTATCCAAATTTTCACAGTCCTTTTTGTCCTGTTTATCCCTTTGCCATCATATTTTAGGGAAAAATCCAAAGAAACTGGGTGGTAAACATCGTCAATCTGCGAGATGAGGCGGCAAAGTGTTAAGTCACCAGCTCAATATTCCCAATTCAAGCATTTCAAAGATTTAGCACATGTGAGGCGTGCTGACAAAATGAGTTACTTCTCACAATCCACAAATGGAGATATTGACCAAAAATCGACACTTGGGTCAGATTTCTAGGTTTGTTATTGATGCAATATTCATAAAGTAGTAAATGCCTTTTGCTATTTCATACTTACAAATTATAAAAACTGCTCCTCTAAGCATGATGTATCTATTTCCATAGAGCCCTATTCCGAGAAGTAGCTCATTTAGTCAGCACACTCCACACATCATAATGAAAATCAGGATGCATTTTGGTTTCTTTCATCATCAATAATTATTCTACATTGCTTACCTTTGAAATTCAAAACAGGGTTAACAAAAGACAAGCTGACTTGGTTGTCTTGGTTTACAAAAAAATATTGTAGGTGTTTTACGCTCCCACTGACACAATTTAATCATTGAGAAAGTGGGTCCCAACTCTGCCTGTCAGGGCCAACCCAGGCTGAGGAGGACTGAGACATTTGATAAAAATTCTCCCCACACAGGAAATAAACTCTGTTCTTTTGCGTGCGACTCTAAAGTGCCTAACCACTGCACTGCATTGCAATTTTAAAAGGTTACTTTTGCAAACATTTAAGAACTGAATTTCGTAGATGAAATATTTTTCCACACTTGAAACCAGTATAATAGCTCCAAAAGTTGCAATATTAAAAAGGCGACCTAATTTTGCAGTTCAGTCTCCCAACAGTGTGACAACAATACGTCATCAACTTCAATAAATAATGACTGCACAATCAGTCTTCTTTAACTTTCAGATATTTAGTTTTTTCAATGAGACTTTTACGGCACTTGCAACACAAAAAGGTCATATAAGTGCCGAAAAATAGACGTGTTATAAGAGAGTACAGCCACTGAACTAGCAGAAAAACACCATCTTCCATGTAACAGAGAAATGCTGAAACCTTTTAGACCAGAACTTCCCCCCAAACACTAACATCAAGAATACCAACATCAAAACGTCCCTCATAAAAGAGACAGGGAAAAAGGAATGTGACCCAGTAGAACTGAAGACAACAGCTCTGAAGACAATTGACTCCTACCCTAGTGATTCAATTCATATTTATACAGATGGGTCAGCCTTCAAGGGCACTATAAACGCAGGCTTTGGGGTAAGAATTGAACATCCTGATAAAAAAATGTGAAGAGCTATTTGATGCATGTGGTACTTCTTGTACAAATTACGAGGCTGAGGCAATCGCCATTGAAGCAGCAATCCTACACCTGACCAACATTTTCATAATACATCCAAACAAAATCAAGAACACTATTATCTTCACAGACGGAAAGTCAGTACTCCAAGCTTTGGAAAACATGAATTTCGAAAGCCCAGCCTGCCTATCCGTGGCTCAAACAATCAATACGTTCATACAGACCTATGCCGTCGACCTGACACTACAGTGGATACCTGGCCACAGCAACATCCCAGAAAACGACAGAGCAGACACCCTTGCCAAGAAGGGAGCATCACAGACACAACCTCACAACCCAGTATCACAACAGACAGCCAAGAACATCATCAAATGCAACACCAGGGAACAGTGGCTGAATGGATGGGCAATGGGCAAAACTGGAAGAACTGTATTAGCACACATGACAGCCCCCAACTCTAAAGATGCAATAAATTCCCTGAGTAGAAGAGAACAAGTCACGATATTTCGCCTGCGAACACAACGCATACCACTAAATTCCTACCTTAATAGGATCCGCAAGGATACCCCATCCGACTGCCCGTTGTGCGACTGCCAGGATGAAACAGTACCACACCACCTCTTTTACTGCCCAGCACTTTGTGACCTGCGTAGCACCTACCTACCTACCTGCCTCCCCAGACATCGGAAACACTCTATATAGCGACAAAGCACAGCTGATTAAAACCTGTCAATTCTTTGCCATATCGACAGACCGAAGGGCTAGAACCCAAATGGCCGCTGGATCAGAAAAGTAAAGTAAGTCAAGTATAAGAGAGTGACAAACACAAAAAAGAAAGAGGAGAGATCAGGACCATAGATGTTTGATAGGAAAAAAAAAAGCAAACAACACCAGAGCACCGCCGACCACCTACTCAGATTTAAGGAGAAAACTGGGTTCTTTGAGCATGACTTTAAAAAACAAAACAATGGAAGTCTTTACCACTCACTTTTAATATTTTGAGCTCCCTTTCCCAAAAGACGTCCCGCAGTTTCAATGCCTCTTGCAAGCGTTTAGAGTAACCATAGCATCTGAGCTTGCTGATCCAGGGGAGGAAATCCATGCCACGAGCACTGCCAGAGCCAAAAGTGTCGTTAAACAAAGAGTTGATGTCCTTGATTGTTTGGAAGTTTGGACTAGAGTGATCAAAGGTCGTGCCCAAGGTCTGGGGAGAAAAGAAAAGTGGGGTTAAAATGGGGCAATAAATTGCCAGGTAAAAAACCCCCACATCGATGTGCTCAGGACCATGGAACTCTGAAAATAGCTTGAAGAAAGCAATAAAAAGTTGGGTTGTTGTTTTTTTTTTCAATTACTATACTACAGCTTATAAAAACTATGCAAGGGGAGAGCAAGGGATGAAATAAAGAAAGAACTCATAATATATCATTGAGGGGAACTTTCAAAAGTTGATGCTACGAGAAAAATAGAGAACTTCAAGAAATGCTGTGATTCAGACCAATTCCAATGCCCTGGTAATGTTAATGACAGACAGAATCGTAAACTTCACATCATTAAGAGAGATTTCAGGGAAAGGTTTTGAGACGTTCTTACCAACGATTCCATGGTTTTTAAAAAAAAAGTTTCAGATGACGTTTGTCAAAAAGTGGAATAGGCCGAGGAAAGGATGGGTCGGGGGGGGGGGAGAGAGAGAGAGAGAGAGAGAGAGAGAGAGAGAGAGAGAGAGAGAGAGAGAGAGAGAGAGAGAGAGAGAGAAGGAGAGAAAAAGAAAGAGAGAGAGACAGAAAGAAAGAGTGAGAGATAGAGAAAGAAAAAGAGAAAGAGAGATAGAGAAAGAAAAAGAGAAAGACAGACAGAATAGAAGGAAGGCAAAGGTAGCTGTTACAAAGCTGTTTATATCAATTTAAATTTCCACATTATAAATTTCATAAAAGGTACTGCAGTAGCTGAAAATGAATAATTCCTTACATATTCGGAGAGTTTACTTGTCGTCCTAGTGGTGTGTTGTTCGTGTATGAATGACAATACACATTGTCCTGATACCTGTATCCAAGATGTACTAACAATGACATTGTGTAATATGAATGACTAACATGACTGGTGCAATAATGTAATACATGTACTTAAGCTCTTTGCTGCTTCCTGCAGAGGACATGAGTTTGATTCCTGGGTGATTTAGTTTTTAGTAAGAGTTTTACGGCACTTGCAACACAATAAGGTCATATTATAAGTAAATGCCGAAGAATAGATTACGTGTTACAAGAGAGTAAAAAACAAAAAAGGAGGAGAGACAAGGACGATAGATGTTTGATAGGAAAGAAGGAGCAAACCACACCAGAGCACCTGCCAACAAACCATTTCCTGGGTGAGGAAGAGTGGGGTTTTTTCTTCTGTGTATCTTTGTCTGGGATACTGAAATCCCTCTCAGTCCAGGTTCTTTTTTTTTATAGAAGAGGTTTTACGGCGCTGGCAACTGCATAAGGTCATATGAGCGCCATCAGCCCAGGTTCATCCTGACAGGATGGGTCAAATTCTCCAAAATGACCCAAATTGTGCTGATGGGGAAGTAAAACATTACAATGTGATTTTTGTGCTTATGGGGGGGGGGGGGACATTATAATTTGATTTGATTTCGAATGATCGATGTCACTAGCTGTGGTTCCTACCAGCCCCAGCATGACGTTGGACACAGCGTGGTACACGTGATCCCAGGGGTCGAAGCTCCGCCCCCCGTGCTCGCCGATAGCAGCCAACATGGCGGAAATCTCCGGTTGACACTTGTGCTCCAAATTGTCCATGCCGTCGCCATACATCTTCAGTGTTTTCAGCACCTGGAAGTGCGTGGAAGTCAGTCCTTTAACAACAGTAACAAGTGGAGTTATATCGTTGACATTTTATGTTTCTCTTTTCTAAGTAGAAGACATAAAAAGAAAGAAGACAAAACAACAACAACAACAACAACAAAAGCAAAATGAACAGGTGCGGTTCGTCCATAGAGCACGGTCGTGCAGTGTTGCCCAAACTTTTTTAATGTTCTATTACGTAAAACACCCACAATAATAAAATAAAAGAAGCCATAAATATTATATCAAAACAAGGTCCTCACTGGCGCTGTAACTGTCATTTTTGTGTCTATAACGCCGTAAAACATCTACTATGTCATGCCAAAGTCCATGCGCTTTAGCTAAACATAATAAGATATTCAACAGTATAACCTGACCTATAAATTGCTCTTGGGGATAACCCAAGCGATGACGACACTTGTAGCGAGTTTGGCGGTACATTAATATTAATAAGACGGCACATCTCAAAAGTGCTCCTGCCGAATAGTACCGAATCACAACCTAGTAGGCAGTCTAAAAATAAACGCGATAGACCGTACCCTATTCTTTGCCAATATTATGTGAGCCCTGGAGCAATCCAGCGGAGTGCTCAAGTGAATTGAGATTGGTTCATTGTCGGTCTTGCCACTTTTTTAAGTGACTCTGTGACCGTAAATCTGAGGGAGGTTAACGTGACTGTTCTACGAGTTGTGCCTTTGAATGATTTTGTAGTGGAGTGGTGAAAGTTATTACTTGAGTGTTCAGTTCCAATATTGGATGAACGAAATTGATGCTTAGCTTACAAATAAATTTAGTACTAGAAATCAAAGCGGCAATTAAAAGAATGAATAGCTTAATTGTGCACGTCCACTTTTTAGCCCTACGAGCCGCCTCTGAAAATGAAGCATAATTCGCTTTTATGAATCTTTGGGGGGGAAAAAAGACAGCATCAACATTATCATTATTGTCATCAGCTCCAAATATAGGCAGAGGAGTAACTGCCATCTTTACACCATGCCTGCAATGTTTCCCCAGTCCCGTGTCCTGTGGCACTGGCTATGAGTTCTGCACACATCGAGGATGTTGTGATTCTGGTTCATTTTTACTTGGACGCAGTTTATAGAGCCAATTGTATCTGCTTCCTAATGATTAAAATCTTTTCTCTCTCTCTCTCTCTCTCTCTCTCTCTCTCTCTCTCTCTCTCTCTCTCTCTCTCTCTCTCTCTCTCTGTCTATTTGTCTGTCTGTCTCTCCAAATTATATACTCTTCCTTTCTTGCACATCACGCTTTTCGCCACAGTTTAGCGCACTCCCAATTGTACTTCCATACTTGGGAAAGGAGAAACAGAAAGAGCTAGATACATTACCCAATCTAATGTTCCTCTATAGCAACAACTGTGTAACTTCACTTCTCCTTTTCCCTAAAAAGACAGAAAGACAAACGCAAAAGGATAGAAAAAAAAACACAACAGAAAGGCGGGGAGAGGCCAGTTGACACACTGACACACACACACACTCAAACACAGAGTGAGAGACAGACAGAGAGAGAGGGGGAGAGACAGAGAGACAGAGAGAGGGGGAGAGACAGAGAGACAGAGAGAGGGGGAGAGACAGAGAGACAGAGAGGGACGGACACACACACACACACACACACACACACACACACACACACTCAATCAATCAATCAAACCTCCTTCCTGAGAAACTGCAGCTTCTCGGTGTAGGTCTGCCAGACGATGGAGTGCCTGTGTCTGTGCGCCTGCGCAGTGCGGTACATGGGGGGCCTTCCGGAGAAGGCACTGCCCTGCACCACCAGAGCGTCGTGGACGCTGGCGTAGTCGCTGAGCACCAGGATCTCCTCGCTGAACACCCGGATGCGGAACACGGGCCCGAATCGCTCCGCCCACTCCGTCAAGACAAGATGGCAGCGCGACATGTCCAGCTGGCCGGCGTTGCCCAGCAACGGTCTCCGTGGCGTCGCCATGGGGATCAGCGCATACTTCCGGCGGTCGCAGTGCCAGAGCAAGAGGTAGGTGCACAGGAGGACGCACGTGACACCCACCAGGACCAGCTCCAGAGCCATGATTGATTGATAACGGTAGCTCTGCAGAAGGAGAAAATGACAATGTTAGGAGACGACGGAGTCTGCACAGTCCTAACCTTTCATAACAGCAGGGTTTGGAAAGTTGTTGCTGCTGTTATGTATTTGTTGTTGTCGGTTGCTGTTGTTGTGGTCGCACTTGCTACCTGCGTCTGCCGTGCAGCGGTTTGGAGCTTCGCTGTTACACACAGGAGACCCGAGAGGGGAATTTTTTTAAATCGAATATCTCAGTCTTTCTGCTGGGACGTTGTATCCGTCTTATTTCGGCCGCTTCCCAAATGATCTAAATTCTGTCGATAGGGCGTTAAAATACCTACATTAAAAACATCGCTCTTGTTTTTGTTGCCGTTGGTGCTGCTGCTACTGTCGTGTGTGTGTGTGTGTGTGTGTGTGTGTGTGCGTGTGGTAGCCTGTCCGTTTGAAATGTTTGGAGGCCCCGAAGCCTCTCTTGGGTAGCGGGTGAGGCAGTCCAACCTCCCTGAATCCTCCCAAAAAGAGATGCCACCACCGTCGTTGTTGTCATTGTTGTATTAGTTGCATGGCACGATTTTGGAACGTGTCATTTCTGAAGCAAAAACTGCTGACAGTAACGTAATTGCGATAAGATAACATTTAAACATTACACATGTTTCAAAATGATTTTTGTTGTTGTTTTGTTCTAGTAAATAGAACTAACTTAACAGCAGAAGCGCCTCGATGCAATGACGGTCATTAGTGTTGGGAAAAAGTAAGACAGACAGACAGAAACAACAGAAGGAAAGCCCAGAAGTAGGACTTACCAGTACCGACCTCAACCACCCGCTCAGAACGAAGGCGGCCGTTTCTGGTATTGTTTTTCTCCCTTTCAAAGCATTCTTCTAACAACAGAATGTGCGTCCGCGTCAATCGATCAGTGGCTATTTTGCTGAAAGACGGCACAGGTGACCCTGATTCATGCTATAGGGGCGTTCCAGAAGTTGTGATGTTTGAGGAGCTGTCAATGGGTTGCAATGCTTTAAAAGTTGTCAATGTTTGAAAAATTGTCAATGTTGGAGGAGCTGACGATGTTCAGGAGTCGTCAATGTTTGGGGACGTCGTCAACAATGTTTGGGGGAAGTTGTCAATGTTTCGGGGAAGTTTTCAATGTTTGGAGGAAATTGTCAATGTTTGGGGAAAGTTGTCAATGTTTGGGGGAAGTTGTCAATATTTGGGGGAAGTTGTCAATGTTTGGGGAAAGTTGTCAATGTTTGGGGGAAGTTGTCAATGTTTGGGGTTGTTAATGTTTGGGGAAAGTTGTCAATGTTTGGGGGAGTTGTCAATGTTTGGGGAGTTGTCAATGATTTATTTTAATTTTAATTTCTGTATCTTTAAAAATTTCTTCTTTTTTTTCTTCT